TAAAGACCTGAAATATTTCAGTTGGTGTGCAATGAATCTGAAATATAAGAAAGTTTAATTTTTATCATTACATTATGGAAAATAATGACCTTTATCACAATATGCTATTTTTTTTAAAAGGACCTGTATATAGTGCCCCCACCCCCACCCAGTGGCTACAATTCACCAGCCGCCACAGCTGGAGGCCCTGTAAATTCTATGCTCTGCCCCCTCCCCTCCCACCAAGGAAGCCTGATGACCTATCAGAGGGACCCAGCTGAATAAACATACCATTCCTATCAGAACTCCTACAGTGCCTCTGGAGTGTCCTTGGACATGCTCATCGCTCTTATCGTCTCCCTTCCCCTACGTAATTCCTGCGTCACTATGTGCAGGGTGTTTTTTTTTTTGTTTGTTTTTTTTTTTCAATTTCAGGCTATCTTTCCTTGGTCATGGAATGAGAGTCTGTTAGGATTTTTTCCCCTCCAAATCCTGTATATGTTGTCACTTTCATTACTTTTTTGTCTGTCTAAACAGGTCTCACTTGTAAATGAGTCTTCGAGACTCTAAAGTTTGAATGAATTGCTGTTAGCAAAATGCTCTGCTGTATTTGGTATCTCTGGTTGTTATTGCTTGTTTATTTTTATTTTATTTTTTGGTTGACGCCATCTTTCATATGTATGCCCTAATTAAATTAGGATATGTTTATAAATGTCTTTTTTACCTGAAGCATGTTGTCATTTCCCTTAATTTTCTTTTTGGAGTGTATCAGAATGCTTAATTTACATGTTAAAAAATCACTAAGGGTGTTTTCACACATGATAGTCTGGTAGACTCGGTTCGATTGGTTACCAAAATTGGAACATTTGTTACATTTTCAGCAGGTGCATTTCACATTCACACTGCACTGAGTCAAATGAGCAAAATCCTTTGAGCAACCTGTTCCTCACCCTCACCTGTGGTGGTGCTGCACCAAGAACTACTGAAGGAAACGACACAAAAACCTCTGAAGAAGACACTGAGCGCAACTTACTTTTTCTGGAAATATAAACGAAAATGGAGTGGCACCAAATGTTAGCGGTTTTAGGATTTCTGTTTAGTCTGTGGCACATGTGTCAAACAAACGTTTTTCAACAATAGACTCAGGATGAAAGGTAGATGAGGCAGAATGAAGACCATGGAAAATGTTGTTTTTCACACCAGGCAGCTGGATGTATTTACCTAGAATGCCCTGCGCTGTAGTCCACTTTCTGCTTTTGGAGCGGTCTCCGGTCTGCTTGCATACACATATGCATTTGAGCCGCACTAGAGTTCACTTCCACTGAACCGAGACCGAGGCTTTTAGGCAAACCAGAGTTCACTTTTTTGGTCCGTATCAGAGTTCGATTGTGCATTCACACCTCCGCAAACGAACCAGACTTTCTAGGCAAATGGGCTACAGTTTGATTAAAGCGGACTAAACAGGGCTGGTGTGAATGCACCTAAATCTTCAGGGGTGGGGGGGCTAGGTTTGTCACCTTTCTCATCCCTTCTGAGTTTTCAGGTATGATCACTAGTCCACATGTGGACAAAATTACAGGTACTTCAGTAATTTGTCAGTGAGTATATTTATGGAGTATCTAACAGTACCATAAGAACTTCTATTATAGTAATTGGAGCTGGACATTTGTAACCAACTGTTTTATAACAGTGACATGTAAGAAAAGGAAATAATATAGTGCATTTGTATTTTTGGACCAATAAAAGAACCAACATTTTATATTTGTAGCTACTAAACAGGAACACTAATGCAGATTTTAAGGTATCCAATCAATCCTGAAGTTCTACTCCTACTTTACTGTTTTCCTGTTTTAGGCTGACATGAACAGTGACCGAGCAATCAGGAGAGATGAAGGGGAACGGTTGGCCAGAGTGAGTACACATGAATATACACAGCACAGCAGCTGTGGTGTTCTTTTTTGCTCACTATTGTCTGCTGCTCTTCTTGCCTTTAGGAGTATTCAGTTCCTTTCATGGAAACGAGTGCCAAGACGGGAGTCAACGTAGAGTTGGCCTTCACAGCTGTAGCTAAGTATGACACAGTCTTTCATTGTCTTTTACCATTCCCCTACTAATGATAGGGGAAACTGATATTGATGATTCAACATCGATATCAGTTAACCTTACCATTACACAAGTAGAGCACCCCGCTCTGTCAACAGAACCAAACCTCAACACTGGCCCCTCCCTCCTGTTCCCCCGATCGACAACTGCCAGCACTGACGTAGCGCTGTACAGATGCGCTAGCTGAAATGCTAGAGATGGTGTCCGATTCTCTCATGCTGAGCCATCCCCCCCCCCCCCCCCAAAACAAACAGCGCGCAACACAGACATGTCTCAGTATGCACACACACACACACACACCGTAAAAAAAAATCACGGAAGAGATGAACACCCAGCCAAGGCAAGTAATATAGGAGAAACACTGACTATTATGACTGAGATGCTCACATGTGCAACATTATAACATTAGTTTGGTTTGGTTCATTTAAAATAAAGTAACATCATGAAAAGACATGTCAGGATTTCATATTGTGCACATTACTGCTTATAGTCTTCCTCCTAAAATAGATATTCAAAGGATATGGGTTTGTTCAGCTGGTGCTGATTGGTGCGACTTGTTATTTCTGAGACTTGTGTAGCGAGTATATTAGTTAAATAATGAGGGTTCTAATAGTAACCTCAAATAAATCTTAATATTAACTGGCTAGTTATCAGGACTATACAAGACTCCGAGGGAGGGGTTTAAGAATAACACAGAGTCACCGAGACTGAATTTGTATTCAGTAGGCACCATGTATTAAATTTGTGCAACACCAATCACATTAATATACATCTATGAATGGCCATTCAATTTTATAGATATACACAATAATTTAACAAACAAAAATAACAAACAAAGAATCAAGTTTGTTAACTTTTTCTTTTTGCATGTAAATTATTAATTCACAGTGTTCCTAAGGTTTCATTGTTCACACAACCTCCTAATAATTAAGTCCTTGAAGGCTAAAGTTCAATAGTCCATGTTGAACAGGGTGGATGCCATTGGGATTTTGAATACCCGTGGGACAGAACTTTAAAGGTTCAAACAGTCCAAGAACAAGAGGGAAAAATAGAAGTTCAAACTGACTGCAGAAGCCTCCTACCAGCCCGGACTGAGCAGGTGGATTCCTCCAGATTTAGAGTGAAGGCTCTGAATCCTTACATTGGCAAGATGATCCTCTGGTCTAGGTTCTGGGCTTTTTCTGTAGCTCGCCATCATCAATTAAAACCTGGCCAATTCTGGTTCGAAGGTAAATACAAACTCCTCTTGCCTCTCAGAGGTCTGTGATAGCTGGCTCCTGTAGCAACTTCTCCCCATACTTCCTTGTGGTCTTACCGCAATTGTTTGCTTGCCATGGTTACATAGCCACTGATTGGTTCATTGAGGTCACGTGTCTGACTGATGGTACACTCGCAAGAATAAGTATTAATGCGAAAGGAAATGTGTGAAGTGCATACTAGGGAAAGATTTTTTTTTTTCTTCGCGGGTTACATCTGGTTAACTAAATCTATTCTGAACAAAGATGTTTCAATTAAAGGCTTTAATATTTATCGTTCAGATCATCTAAGAAAAGGAGGTCTAGCAATATATGTCAGATCTAGCCTGGTAACATAACTGGTATTTAGAAAATCTGCACCTAAGCAATTTGAATTCTTGGCACTAAACAATGATCTGTCTGGTGGTCAATCGTTAGCCGCTGTTGGTTGCTATAGACCCCTACCACCACATATGAAAGCCTTTTGTCTTTAATGCAGCTTTAATCTAATGTACATCCTAATTAAATTGTTCTGGTAGGTGATTTTAATTGAGATTTGCTCTCTCCTGTGTCTGAAGAATTTGAAGAATTTTGTTTGTCTTCAAACCGTAGTCGGGTCATTGATAGTACCATTCGGCCTAATCCAAAGTGCCCTGCCAAATAATCTCTTATAAATTTTATCATCACAAACATGCCACATAAATACAATGGGTTTGGTGTTTTTACAAATGATCTAAGTGACTACTGTGTGGTTGCTGCAGTTAGAGATTAAAAAATGCCTAATTTCAAACATAGAATGATTCTAAAAGGGAATGTGAATCATTTTTGTGAACAAGCCTTTCTTTGGGATCTGTTGCACTTTGACTGGTATTGCATATCATTAATTGATGGTGTGAAACTTGCTTGGAACTATTTTCATAATAGTTTCATTCATTTTGTAAATAAGCATGCTCCACTTTGCCAGTTCAGAATAAAGGGCCGGAATAACCCCTGGTTTACTTCTGAGTTGGCTGACCTTTTGTACAGGAGGGACCAGGTTTGGGCAACAGCAATACAGTCTGGTTCAGACACCCATCAATCCATCCATTATCTTTACCCGCTTGTTCCATTTTGGGTCACGGGGGTCACCGGTGCCCATGTCCAGCAGTCACTGTGCGAGGGGCGGGGTACACCCTGGACAGGTCGCAAGTCCATCACAGGGACACATAGAGACAAACGAGACAAACAACCATTCACTCTCTCACTCACACCTAGGGACAATTTGGAGTTACCAATCAGCCTAACATGCATGTTTTTGGTCTGTGGGAAGAAACCGGAGCCCCTGGAGAAAACCCACGCATGCATGGAGAGAACATGCAAACTCCACCCAGAAAGACCCCCGGACCGGGGTTTGAACCAAGGACCTGCTCACTGAGAGGCAGCAGCTCTACCAGTTGTGCCACCGTGCTGCCCGGTTCAGACACCCATTGGTTGCAATTTCACCAATTACAACATCACTGTATGGCTTCCATTAAAGCTGCAAAACAAAATTACTATTTATCACAGACCACCAAAAATCTAAATGAGCCTAAGAGCTTCTGGAAAACTATTAAATCTCTCGATGACAGCACTCACTCATCTGATCTGCCACCACAATTATTTTTGAATCTGTGCCTGTGTCAGATAAGCATGAGATGATAAATTGTTTCAACAAACGTTTTGTTGCCTCCAGTTCCTCATTTGATACAGTTTCTAAAGGAAAATCACCTACTCCACCAACAAGTCAAGCCTCAGTAAACCATACTTTTCTGTCAGTGCTACTGGGTTACTGTCCCCCGCCCCCCCCCCCACACACACACACACACACACACACATATGCAATGGCACACACATACACTTCTGACCTCACTTTAGGAACACACATATAGAAATATGTGTAAACTTACATTGTCGTTCTGTTAGCAACGTATCATACCATACCATATCAATTTATTTATAGAGCACTTAAAACAGCAACAAGGCCAACCAAAGTGTTGTACAAATGAAACAAATGAGCATAGTGAACAGGAAAATATAAAATAAAAATATAGATACAAATAGCAGCAGATAATAACTAAATGGCCAATAATGTAAAATACAGACAGGATCAAAACAAATCACACTGTGTCAAAGGCAAGGGAATGAAAGTGGGTTTTCAAGCGAGATTTAGGGGCCGTTTACACGGCACGGATTTTGAGTGCATCCGCAACTTTCTCTCTGCGGTTCTGCTGATCATTTACACGACACCAGTGGCCCCCCTCTTTGAATCTGGAGGTTTCTGAATCCACCTTCCAGAGTGGAGGTTTTTCGTTGACCCCCCGCTGATAATGTAAACATCTCCCATTGAGGCTTTGTGTTAAACCACATGCGCACATGCATGCGCGAACCGACGCTATATTTCTATCAACATGGCGGCAGACACACTGCTTTCAGAACCTCGACTGATGGAATATATTTTTAATCTCGTAGTTAATCTTTGTCAGATTCCAGGTGCTGTGACCAACATCTGTGTTGGAAGAGACACAATCTGATCCAGTTCTAATATCGCTGTTTATAGAACGTGGCATGCGCACACGTCGCGCTGCGCTTGAACATAAATGTGCTAAATAATAACAGTTTCATAATAATAAACAGTATTTATGTTAGTGTGAGAGATAATGAAGCTCTGAGCTAAATGAAGCTATCTGGACATTATGTAATTAAAATTTAAAATGATGCTAAACATATAGCGTGAACACTAAAGTTGAAAATGAAGACATCAGGTTTAATTTTTATTTATTTATTCAACACCACAAACTGTACGTCACACAAACGCAGATAGTTAAACTGAACACACTATTAAAACACGTTAACTGAACTTGAATGGATTGAATAAAAAAAATGAGGGGAATTTAAAATAATTAGTTCATCCACATCTCTGTCTTCGACGTCCTCCTGCACTGCATCTGGGCCGAGCCTTGTTCAGAACCGGTCCGCCTGGTGGGAGGACAGCTTCTTCTTCTTTCAGGAAAAATAAAAACTCAGTTGGTTGTTTTGTAACCGAAGTAAACACAAACTAAAATTATTAAAAACGTTTATTTACCTGCTGTAAAACAGCTACTGATGATCACAGAGTAAAGTCCGACATTGACTCGGTTCTGGTCCACTCGTGACCGGTGTGGAGCTGTTAGATGAAGCGGTCCCGCTTGGCGTCAAATCTGTCGACTCTTATCCACAATCCAGCCAGAATCCAGCTTTAACTTGTTGTTACGTTACGTTGTTGTTAGCTGGTTAGCCAAGAGGAAAACAGCGTGCCGAGGCAGCACGCATGCACATTAGGTGAAGGTACAAAATTCATAGCGCCATCAAATGACCTGACATGGTAACTACAGCGGATTCGGGAGGGCGGGAGGAATCCTGCGGATGCATGTAAACCCAAAATGCGACCGTGTCAACGCAAATCTTTTCCTCTAATTAACATACGAAAAAAAATACGTTTCCCCCCATCGTGTCCGTGTAAATAGGGCCTTAAAGAATATGAGTGTGGGAGCCTGCCTGACAAGCAGGGGTAACTCATTCCAAAGTTTTGGACCTGCAAGAGAAAAAGCCCTGTCACCTCTGAGCTTAAGATGGATTCCTGGAACTGAAAGAAGCATCTGGTCTGCTGACCTCAGAGAGCATGGTGCTTTCAGTCCGGTCACGTCCCGGTCACGTGAGTTATAATGAGGTTGACTCT